ATTTTATTAAAGATATCATAGTCTCATTTATCTTAGTCTCATTTCATTTTACGGCACTTTGGTCCTTTGAGAATTTTTTATGAATCAAGTTGGATTGAATTGTTGTGTCTGCTGTTTCCTTCAGGATCTGGAGAAAACCCTGGATGTGTTCAACATCACTCTGGCTCGCCAACAAGCCCAGATGGAGGTGATCTTCTGCACATGAAGCTGGCGGTGATGTTTTCCCAAAGCTACAGGATGATTCAAGCCTTTCTGTTCCTGCAGGCCATCCGGTCCGGACAGAAGCTGGCCGGGAAGAAGGCTGCGGGCCAGAAGCAGGGCTGGTTCAGCGGCTGGTTTGGGAAGAAGGGAAAGAAGGAGGAGCAGGAGCAGGAAGAGAAGGAGCCTGAGAGTAAGACCTGCCCCCAACCCTCTGAAACGGCCCCATGGTTGGATTCTAACCGAGCATCCTTTGGTTCAGGTTCAGGTCTGGAACAGCTGATGACGGCTGAGGAGAAAGAAAAACTCTACACAGCCATTGGCTACAGCGGCAGCTCCCACAACCTGGCTTTACCCAAAGAGGTAGACGCCTCCCAACCTTTAAACCTTCATCTGAGGGATGGTGGCAAAGCCTGAACCCGTTAGGCTGACCTCAGCTAGCAGGCTAAAGGTTAAAGGTCACAACTCGCTTTAGGACCAGATTTCCTGTCCTCTGGTCAGACCAGATCTAGCCGGTCAGAACAGACTTCCAGTCCAGGCAGATTTCAGCCTGATGGCTTCAATGCACCGTATGCCAACCTTAAAGTGCGACTCACCCCGAGGTAAAATCAGCCCTGTCCCCAGACAAGGAAAGTAGAAACAAAGACTTGGAGCCTCCTAGGGGTGGGGCTTAGTGTTGGTTTAGCAGGAAGTGGTCAGGATGAAAGAAAGCCTCAGCTAGCTTAGCTTAGCCCAGATTAGCCTTAATCGAGTCAAATAATCTTTATTTATCATCCAGCCTGGAGCAGCATTCCAGTTTGGGGACATTTCATTTTCCCTACAGCCCTTCCAAGAAAAGACAAAACATTATAGGAGGGAGGACACAGTGTCTTATAGGTAGAGGAAAGAAACACAAAGAGCTTCAGAACTAGAAGCAACACAGATACAGAACACCTTCCAGGGGGGGGGGGCGTTTATTCATCTCTCTGTGTTTGCTGGGATTTATTGTAAAGATGCTAAAGTAACCTAAGCTCCTGTGTTTCAGTACGTTGGTGTGATCATCACCTTCCAGCTGCTGAGGACGTCGGTAACCTTCAGAGAGCAGCATCACGTTCCAGAGATCCTCAACATCCAGATGGTTAACCTCAGCACCAAAATCTCTCAGAGACCTGGAGCTCAGGCTGTCAGGTGAGAGCAGCTGTCCTCTGCAGACCGGCGCCCGCAGTCACACCGCCGCTAAGATCCTCTTCTCTCCCTCTGCAGGTTGGAGGCAGACTTGGAGCACTGGTACGTAACCGGCCTGAAGCAGCGGGACACGGTCCCCTCGCTCATCGCCTCGGTGGGCGATTCCTCCTCATCGCTGCTCAGCGTGGCGTTCGAGCTGAACCCTGAGAAGGTCGGCATTGACCAGCTGCTGGAGATCCACTCCCAGCCTGTGGAGATCATCTACGATGCGGTAAGCAGACCTCAGACTGTCCCCAGACTGTCCCCAGACTGTCCTCAGACTGTCCTCAGACTGTCCTCTGACTGTCCTCAGACTGTCCTCAGACTGTCCTCAGACTGTCCTCAGACTGTCCTCAGACTATCCTCTGACTGTCCTCAGACTGTCCTCAGACTGTCCTCTGACTGTCCTCAGACTGCCCTCAGACTGTCCTCTGACTGTCCTCA